AGAACATCTAGAACTTGTGTTCATTTTTGCAAAATTCTCATCTCAAAAGAATCTATAGTATAACAAAACTCATTGCTGTAAAGAAAATATTCTCCTTACCATCCTTACCGACCAAAGCACCCTCTTGCCATTCTTCGAAATCTCTTTTTTTCTTTAAAAAACGTTAATGTTATTTGTTACAAAGTACATTTACACTGTTAGCATGAACTTTTTACTTTCTTAGACCAAACTTAATTGAACTTGAACTAAAGTTGCATCTGTTAAGGTTGATTCGATTAAGACACCCGAAATATTTTTAGATAAATAGAGGCACTATTATCGCTTTTCGCAGTGTGGGGACAGTCAGAAAAAAAAAAGAAGTGAAAAAGGGACCTATTACTTTTGACATGATCCTACCTTAGGAAGAAAACCAAAATGATGGTAAAAGGGGAAAATAGCATTAAGGCATACATGTGTATTTGTTTGCTTTAAGGTATTCCATCCCCAATAACCTCAGATTTAATGAATTTGAATACATAACAGATGTGTACGGGTGGAATACTCAGTATATTTAGACATAATTCCAATGTATTACTATTAGCACGTAAGAATGGCACGTGTCCTAATTTATGACCTTGACCTTTGTTGAAGAGTTATCTCCCTCTTTTTTAAGTAATAAAAATCAATGTTAAAAAATCTATACGGTAAAAAAATTGTTTTCAATTGTCATTCTATTTCTAATGATTTAATGCATCTTTCCACTACAGTATTTATTGATATTCTTATTATTTGAATTTTTATTTTTAAAAAATCGTTTGTCTCCATAGACTTCAGTGCTATTTCTGTTTATTAATTACTGATTAGTTAATTACATTTTTGAAATTTTCTCTTAGTAAATCCTTTTCTACTGTAAAATGCTTTGAATTAATATCGAAGTATTATATACGTGATGGAGATTTAAGGATAGAGAATTAGGTCTATTAGGGATGAAAACCTTAGAGAAAACCTTAAAGGCCTTTAGCTTTCACTTACTTTAAATCCACAGGTTTCTGTAAATGAACATATTATTTTCAATTTAGTATTATTTCAACCAGTCAAACTATGAATGTTTTATCCGGAATAAATAGATTAGTTAGCACTTAACAGAAATATTTCCTTTTTATAATCAAAATTATACTTTTACGCAATATTAGACATTTTTACGTGCAATATAGTTGAATATCACTTACCGACAAGTTCGTGGATGGGGTCCATGGCTCTGGCGACAAGTCCCACAATTCCCTTAACCTTTTTAATTTTCCCAATAACTATTTAAAAAAGTAAATTAATATAAGCTTTGAAGCTCAATACATTATGCATAACCTTCATTATTTTAACCTTCCTGAGATTTAAAAAAAAAAAAAGAAATATTGAATAAATAATCAACAGTCTTCACCTAGAATTTTTTTCATTTGAGAAAACAATTTTTTAAAAGAAATATATATTCATTTTAATCTCGGTTAGCAACAGAAGTAATTCATGCCGTTGTTGAAGAGTAGGAGCCCCTCCCCTCCCCCATCCCCAACCCAATTCAGCTTCCCACCGGAATCTGTACTCTAGATTAGAACTTCTCCCCTGAGGGAAATCTCACACTAGAGCCATATTCATCCTCTTTCTTTATCAGAGTAGGATTTCCCCTTATATTATCAATTTAAAAAATCATATCGACAATATTTTGGCTAAAAATTTATATGAAAGTCAACTGAATTTTTAATGGAAATACGAGTGGTTTCGATCCGAGAATTGTTTAAATTCAGTATGAAATCTTAAATATATAGTTAAAATCACTGCGTTTATATATATTATTGATAGGTTCCACGTACGATTTTGTGAGTAGTTGAATCGAGTAATTCAAAGAAAACAAACCGAAACCAAGAAGAGAACAATACCAAAAATAAGAGGCCCATGGGCCACATCGCTCACCTGAGCACATTGGCTAGGCAAAAGCACAAATCAGTTCAGTATTGAAAAGATTACCGGGGGGGGGGGGGGGCTTGAATTTTAAACTACCTGATGATGCTTCCATGTCAATATAACAAATGGCTTTGTTGTACTCGAGAAGATTTTTTAAAAAAAATTCCCATATATTCCTTTGTAAAAATTTGATCCCCCATTGTGGCTCCTCCCTATCCAAGGGGTCATCATTTGAACAAACTTGAATCTACACTACCTGAGGATAATTCCATATCAATATGACTTATAACATAGCTTTTCTGTTCTTGAGAAGAAATATTTTTTCTATATATTCTTATGTAAAACTTTTGATCCCCCATTGGGCCCCACCCTACCCCCCGGGGTCATGATTTGATCAAACCTGAATCTACACTATCTGAGGATGCTTCCATATAAATGACTCATCATGGCGTTGCTGTTCTTGAGAAGAAGATTTTTAAAGGTTTTTCCTATATATTTCTATGTAAAACTTGGATCCTCCATTGTGGCCCCGCCCTACCCCAGGGGTCATGATTTGAACAAACTTGAATCTACACTACCTGAGGATGCTTCCATATAAATATGACTCATCCTGGCTCTGCTGTTCTTGAGAAGAAGATTTTTAAAGGTTTTCCTATATATTTCTATGAAAAGCTTTGATCCTCCATTGCGGCCCCGCCCTACCCCAGGGGGTCATGATTTGAACAAACTTGAATCTACACTACCTGAGGATGCTTCCATATAAATATGACTTATCATGGCTTCGCAGTGCTTGAGAAAAAGATTTTTAAAGGTTTTTCCTATATATTTCTATGTAAAACTTTGATCCTCCATTGTGGCTCCGCCCTACCCCCGGGCGTCATGATTTGAACAAACTTGAATCTACACTATCTGAGGATGCTTCCATATAAGTATGACTCATCCTGGCTCTGCTGTTCTTGAGAAGAAGATTTTTAAAGGTTTTCCTATATATTTCTATGAAAAGCTTTGATCCTCCATTGTGGCCCCGCCCTACCCCAGGGGGGTCATGATTTGAACAAACTTGAATCTACACTACCTGAGGATGCTTCCATATAAATATGACTTATCATGGCTTCGCAGTGCTTGAGAAGAAGATTTTTAAAGGTTTTTCCAATATATTTCTATGTAAAACTTGGATCCTCCATTGTAGCCCCGCCCTACCCCAGGGGTCATGATTTGAACAAACTTGAATCTACACTACCTGAGGATGCTTCCATATAAATATGACTCATCATGGCTTTGCTGTTCTTGAGAAGAAGATTTTTAAAGGTTTTTCCTATATAATTCTATGTAAATCTTGGATCCTCCATTGTGGCACGCCCTACCCCCAGGGGTCATGATTTGAAAACAAACTTGAATCTACACTACCTGAGGATGCTTCCATATAAATATGACTCATCAAGGCTTTGCTGTTCTTGAGAAGAAGATTTTTAAAGGTTTTTTCCTATATATTTCTATGTAAAACTTGGATCCTCCATTGTGGCCCCGCCCTACCCCAGGGGGTCATGATTTGAACAAATTTGAATCTACACTACCTGAGAATGCTTCCACATGAGTTTCATCTTTCCTGGCCCTGTGGTTCTTGAGAAGAAGATTTTTAAAAGATGCTATTAATTTTTCAGTAATTCTTTATTATCTCCCCTTGAAAGAGGGAGTGGCCCTTCATTTGAACAAACTTGAATCCCTCTCACCCAAGGATGCTTTGTGGCAAGTTTGGTTGAAATTGGCCCAGTGGTTCTGGAGAAGAAGTCGAAAATGTGAAAAGTTTACAGACAGACGGACGGACAGACAGAGTACAGACAAAATGTGATCAGAAAAGCTCACTTGAGCTTTCAGCTCAGGTGAGCTAATAAATAAATTAAAAAAAAAACAAAAACAAACAACCCCCACCCCATCAAAAAACTGCGCTTGCAAGCCATAAGTATGTCCCCTTTAACCCAGCGGTGTTATATTGGATTGGAAAGTAGGGAACAGATACTCTCCCAAAGTTTTGCAAAATTTCAATTTTTTAGAAATTCACATGGTTCCATGGAAAGGGCTGCTGATTTGGATATTTAAACCCCAGAATCTGCAGACACATTACTAAATGAAATCCCGCGCAAGCTCGGGGAATTGAATTTTAACCACTACTGACAAAACAATTCCAATAATATATATCTCATAATTGCTACTGACAGTTTAAAACTACAGGCTTATAGTAGGAAGAAATACTTTGAGCACTTTTTTGGGTAAAAATGAGCTTTTAACACCTTTTGTGTAGGCACAGAAATTGATACAAATGACTGTATTCAGAAAAGTCAACTGAAATATATTGAATAAAGCACAAATTTTCAACAACTTAAGTTATATTTGATCAATATTATATTCATGAACAAGTTTATTACTATATATATATATATATATATATATATATATATATATATATATATATATATATATATATATATATATATATATATATATATATATATATATTGTACTTCGGGTTTGCCACGATGCTCTCAGTGGCGAATATGCACATTTTACTGATAAGCAAAACTTACTAAAAGTCTTTCGTCGCCCGCGTGGCCCAGTGGTTAGAGCGTTTGCTCTAGGGGCACGGAGTAAGGAGTTGATCCTTACGTTGCGGGTTCGAATCCCACTGGGGGACGTGGAGACCAGTCCTTCAGATGAGACCGTATGAACCGAGGTCTCGTGTCGCACTAGGTGCTGGCACGAAAAAGATCCCTCATTGCTCAATGGCCCTAAGTGCCGAGTATAGGGGCCATTGAGCAATGAGAGGAACGTTAAACAACAAACAAACAAACAAACTAATAGTCTTTCGATATATAAATATATTCATAAATATAATTACCATTATTTCCATGCCTTTTCACATCAAGGTTTTTTTTCATATTCATGTAGTGATTATCGCCTTGTTTTTCTTTTTAACATTTAATTTTCCGTCAAGATTAAGATCAGTGATTGACAAAAACGATTTGCACATTTATTTTCTAATAGTTATCACATCTCCTTTCTTCTATATCACTTAAATCAAGTTTTGATTGAATAATTCATTAATGACGTTTTATGAAATAATTAAAAGATTGCTTGTAGTCAGTTTCATTAAAAATTGCCATTAACTTACACCCGCCAACCGTAACCAACACCGTACTCTCGTTTTTTTTTTGTTTGTTTGTTTGTTTTTGTTTTGTTTTTTGTTTTGTTTTTTTCTATTTCTAGGGTGCTAATCGAAAATGAAGTTAGACTTGTAATTAAATTTACGATAATTACTATGCTAGTGAAATCTAAATATAGTTTACGGACATCATCTCATATCTATACTATAGTATATTCTTAGATGAGCACGTACAAATAAAAATACAAAAAAAACTTCATAGTGTTAACCCCCCAAAAAAATCAAGTTGCCAAAAATTTTGAAGACATTCTTGAAAATACGTACTTACCAGGGTACATAAAGAACAAAATACAATTTAATTCATGCTTAAATTTGGAATGTGTTCATGAAGATACTAGCTTTAATGTTAATCTTTTTAAATAATCTTTTAGGGATATACCAGTATTCAGTTCACAAAACCATGTTCTTTTCTCCACAACAATAGACCAAAATTAACTGCGGAACTGTGTTGCTAGAGATTTCTTGATACTGATAGAATATCTGCAACTTTACCTGAAGTTTCACTGTCGTCAAAGGTCGCCTTCACACGATCAACAGCTTCCTTCAAACAACTGACCACTCTTTCAAAGTTTTCCTTGCAGTCTTCTCGGAAATTCTCTAATACAAGAGAAATAGTGTGTTAAATATTGTCTATAATGGAATACCTAAATATATTTTTATCTAGTTTTTAAATATATCGTAAATATGAAAATATATTTATTTTAGAGACATAATATCCGATTAGTATAATCTTAGCGTAATGTTAATTCAAACTTAACATGCCTATGCAAGTTTATTTACTTAATCATTATCACAATAAATCACCTGGACTGCAGCTTTTTGGTAGTTCAATTTTTTCAGGCTTAATAGATTCAGCTCCTATATAAACAGAAAAAAATACACATAAAAGTGTCTAAGAGGAATATAGCAAGCTAACCTATAGCTAGAAAAAGATTATAATAATAGTGTTAATGAGGAATAAAGCCAACTACTACTGTATGTCCAGATGATGATGATGATTATAATAATAATAATAATTACGATAATAATAATAATAATAATAATGATAATGATGATGATGATGATAATGGTGATGATAATGATGTTGATGATGATGATAATGATGATGATGATGATGATAATGGTGATGATAATAATGATGATGATGATGATGATAATGATGATGATGATGATAATGGTGATGATAATAATGATGATGATGATGATAATGGTGATGATAATAATGATGATGATGATGATAATGGTGATGATGATAATGATGATGATGATGATAATGGTGATGATAATAATGATGATGATGATGATGATAATGGTGATGATAATAATCTGTATGACCAGAAGAAAAAAAATCATGATAATATTGTCCTTCCTGATATACTTTATTTTAACAAATAAAATATCTCGAGATAGTCTTGTTGTATATTTTATTTGTTAAAATAAAGTATATAAGGAGGGAGAACAGTATTCCTGAGATATACAGCCAGCTCATGTTAGTCAGGAACAACAACACTATTCAACACAGCAGAGATGTGGTGACAGTAAGATTAATGCAATTTTGTGAAGCAACATGAATTTAATACTCCCATCAAAAACAATAATCAGATCCTAAGATGTAAAATACCGTGTTCCGCATGCATTTCAACGAGGAAAAGTAAGTTTCCGAGATGTTCTTCTACCCTTTCAGTAGCTTTGCCATCCACGCCTATAAATATCACAATGGGTTGACTTATACTTGGAAGTATAAACAGTTACTGTTGCTATATGCTACAACACAATACAATGAAGAAGTATAAAAAATTGTCGAGATCATCCTACCCTCTTTCAAAAGAGCATCAAGATCCTCTCCGATTTCATTCATATCTTCTCTCAAGTTATCAGCAACTTTCTTAACTTCAGCTGGATCAACATTTTTCAGTTCTATAATTCAAAGCAGAATGACATTTAGAGGTAACCGATGCATCATTTCACTGAATTCATGTATATCAAATATACTTAAAAGTAAGACTTACGATTCTCAGTAATTAAAGCGGCTTTCACCCAGTCCTCTATATCCCTCTTCTTCTACAAAACAAAATATAACTTGTGAGGAAACACTAATTTTTCAGTTTTCTTTTCAGTGACAACGGATTCTTCGAAACACTTGTGTTTGAAAGTATTGACTCGAACTCTGTAATTGTTTATGTACACATTTTACCGGGGGTGCTCGAATTATTAACACTACACCCATCACTGAACATGAGCTAACAGCACTCGTGCTTTGGTTTTGCTTTCTTTGCTTTTCTATTCTGACTTAGTTATGATATCTTTTAATGCCTCTTTTCGTAATTTTAGTTCTTCAAATGAAATTGCGAACAATAATCGTGCTCAAAATCAGATTAAACAATACATAATATAACAGAGCACACACCGACCTCTGAAAACAGAGGCAGAATGATAAGGGGGGGGGGAGCAGTAAAGGAGTCCTATCTATCTATCTATCTATCTATCTATCTATCTATATATATATATATATATATATATATTAGGGATGTCAAATCGGTCAATTTTTGATAATCGGTTACTCGAACGTTTTTCCGATCGAGTACCCGGGTACTCGGTAAAAATGAAAATACATACAAGTGTGTTAATTTTCTTGAGCCCGGTTAAGCTCTGTTAAACCCCAAAGCTTTTTTTTTATCACGTTTATAAATGTATATAAACAACTGAATCAAAGGGAAATGGATTATTTTGGTAGTAAATTTACTTAACAAATAAACACAAAGGACACAATTAATACATCACAAATTACAAATGGTTTACAGTTTTTGTTTAGGATCTATTTCATCAACACAAAAGGAAGACAATCTGTTGTGCAGGTTTGTGGTGAATAGACTAGCGAAAGGGAAAGAACGGACGTTGGTGGGATTGTAGTCTAATATCATTTCATATGTTGGTTGTTTCCCCCGTATACACTAAACTTACTACGCAAACTGACTTTCAACATTTTTTTTAACTTTAGTTGTTTCTAAATATTTCTTCCTTTTGAAGTGGGTAGCGGCATTTCGCTACCATATCTCAATTAAATAATTTAAGAACGATTTGAAGATTATAGACCATACTTAAACTATGTTCACTGAAAACAATCATTGAACCGCCATCCAAAAATTAAGGATAATAGTAGGTGAGAACAGCTGTGTACCAGGTGATTGGTCACTAATTACTGTATATACACAGCCACAGGCTATAACGGGTGTTTTACAGGTGTAGATGACGACACGCCAATTACCGTATGCATATTTAAGTTTTTGATAAGTTTTTGATAAAAATATGTACTTTGAAATAAGAAAAAAATACACTTCCGAGTAACAGAGTACCATTTTTAGTATTCGATACTTGGACGTTCGATCGAGTACCCGGTTAACCGGGTACTCGTTGACATCCCTAATATATATATATATATATATATATATATATATATATATATATATATATATATATATATATATATATATATATATATATATATACCGGTATATAATGAATTTTAGGAAAGAGCAAGAGCCTTTATCTTTTCATGAATTAATTGTGCTTCCTAAGAATACATTATTCGTAGTTTTTATAATTGGCAGTTTTAATTGCGCTTTTATAGTTTATCGAAACGCTCTCGCAACATGCAAGTTATGAAAATCTACCGAAAGTTTGAATGTTATAAACTTTATATCCCCTTGAAAAAGATACTCAGTATACCATATTGCCTACAATATAGCACATTCAGCACATTCAAAAAGAGTAATAATTGTTTCAAACGAGGTCGATGAAATTAACAGATTTATAGATATAATGAAATGTTGTACTGAATTCAACATATTTTATTGACAAAGTCACAAGTTCTATAACTCAGAGTAGTCTTTATAAAACTGCCATAATACAAGTACAAAATTATTTGGTCTATAACAAATAAATTGGTAGTGTCAAAAACTGAATCGAAAATTCCTGATGTATGCAAAATATGATTCTTTATGAAAACTAAGAATTTTTTTTTGTTGAAAATCTAACATATTCGTTTTAAAAAATCTCGAATAACTTAAAAAAGTTCTATATTTTGTTGATCAGAGAATGAGTCACCACCCCATAGCATCAAATGCTAATCTATAACGTACAAATTATTGAATGATAATAAATTGTTCATCGGAGAATGTATTTGGCCGTATATACTTTTATTTAAAGTATGCACTGTGTATTTTTCTTAATGAATTAAAATTAAATATCGGTGTCATTTCTAAGAATATTAACCGAAACCAGGTTAAAACATCAGAGCATTGGTTTGAAATTGTCAACTGATTCTAACAAAAAGTTGTACCGACTTATAAACGGGTCAGTGGCAAATCCCTCTAAAATAACCTCAAAAAATACAACCGATTTATAGGCGGACAGACTTATAGGCGAGTATATATACGGTATATTAGTTCTCTCCAATAAAGATCAGGGTACAAATCATGAAATGTTACAATAATACATATCTCAACTTTTACAAAGACATGTATTCTAAACTAATTTTTAAGGAGGATATAGAGTACAAATTTGAAAAAAGAGCGGAAATGACCAATAAAGTGGAATAATGAAAGGAAAGAGAAAAAAGAGGGTGGGGGAGGGAAAAGGGAAAAAAAAAACAAGTGTTATGGTCCCCACGAACAGTTTGGACTCGTTATTAAACTACAACGAAATAAGAAAGTTTAAAATACAATTATGTCTCAACCTTGTTTGAATTACTAGTATATTCAGAAATCTCTTTCCATATGAAAATTATTTTGGAGGTTTTACAACATTGCTTAACATAATTTTTTTTAAAGTTTTAATGGAAGTTACCTCCCTTGTAGTAAGATTACTCTAAGGGTGTGAGGAATAAAGGGTCTATTGAATAATTCTTATCTTCATTTTGGCAAGGAATAATTGGAAGAATTTCGAGTAGAATATTGTGAAATATTGCCTCGTATATCAGTACTTATTCCAGCTCTTTTCTATGTTTAGCGTCCGCGTATGCCTTGGTTTTTGACACCCCATATCAGGAAAAACAAACAAAATCAGGAGTCATAAAATTTATTAATCTGGTCGAAATGTGTCAATTCTGACAATTTCTCTAAACATTTGTCTACGATATGTAATATTAGATATATTTTAAGCATTTAATACATTGATTTTGCTAAAGAATAGATCCTTCTTCGGGAAAAATAGACCAGTGGAAACAAATCCTTTCCATGACATCATTTTATGACTACATGTATAAGGTTTTGGCTTGTGTGTGTGTGTGTAGGTAGGTTTTTTTTTTTAAAGAAAGGTGGACGCTAAACAGAGAAAAGACTTGGAATGGCCCTAGTTCGATTTCTTCCGTTTGCCAAAGGTCCCCAACTAGGCCCGTAGAAACGAGGGGGGCCGGGGGTACACCTTTTTCTGAGTATAGTATTTTGCTATAGTAAATTTTCCTTTAGATGCTGGTTGGCCCCCCGCTTTTTGATTGATGTTGTAAGGTCGAGCACTGGCAAATTCCAGGATTTGGACAGTAAATTAGCTTTTCCTTTTGCTTCGCAGATAATTGTTGGGAAGTTGCCCCTCTCCCCCCCCCCCCCCACTTTTGAAACCGTTGCCACACGAGCCTGCCAACCATTTTCCAAGTTGACTGAATTTTTAGAAGCAACAGGTGTAAGACCAGTAGCTATTCCAACTGCAAATGCACTTTCTCAAGCTTTTTAACGCCTGCCTTTGTGCATCCATACCAAACTTAATTTTTTTTTCAGATTTTAATCTTTGTGGATACAATGAAAGCATACAGATCTGTGTATTCTGAATGACATAATGTAAAGAAAATAGAGAATGGGTTATGCTCCTCAGATATCAAAGTGTAGTCTTACATTAAAAACTTTATGGACTTGATCTTCACACTAAAAACTTTTTAAAAATATGATATATTTCAATTACTAGTATCGCATATTTCAAATTCTTATGCAGAAAAAAAAAAACACCTTACAATTTTATAATACAGTGTATGTGTGGCAGATTTGCTCAAGCTGATGGTCTATTGTAGATTTCTTTGCTCTTCAAATTACCTTTATGTCATTGTGCATCGCATTACCGATACATTGAGATCGCATTTGGAACTATTTAAGGGATCACTGTCTAGTTAGTAGAGTATGTCAGGGCATCAACAATAGTTGGAAACGTGGGATAATTTGCATAACGGGCGAAGCCCGTTATGCATAAATTATCCCACGTTTCCAACTATCGTTGATGTCCCTGGCATACTCTACTAACTAGACAGTGATTCCTTATATTTCCATTTCATTGTGAAATAAAATTATAAATTTAGATTTTAAAAGTGTAGACTAATTGATTTAAATTACACGAGGCCTCACATGTCAATTTCAATAGTCCCCGCCCACTGACGTCAAACACAAAGACAGCCGCACGAGAATTACATGCATATTAGGCCTTCTTAGCTACTGACCTTTCGCTTGGCGAAATTTGCATTCCGTTAGAATGATCAAGAAATCAACTCTCCTAACTTTCAAAGAGTTATCACAGAGAAAACAAATAGAAATGGAAATATACCTGTATTAACTTTCTTGCTTTATGACCATTTTTTTTTTGAAGACATAGGTACTTATATCACAAAGTTTCAAGCATACAATGAAAGTTGATTTGTTATGAAGCATATTTATTTTAAAAATATGCATTTATGAATAATTAATATTGCATTGCAAGTAAAAATTGGTTTAAAACTATTTTTGAAGTAGACAGCAGAAATTGAGAGGGATTTGCGTGAACATATTAAATAGAGGCCAGGAACCCCCACTGATGATTCTTTATTTAAAATAGTTTTTAAACAGTTTTGTATCTTACAAGAAAAGATACAAGAAAAAAAACTTAACGATATATATATATATATATATATATATATATATATATATATATATATATATATATAGATATAGATATAGATATAGTTGGACATTAATGGGACATTTTTTTTGCTGGACATTAGTTTAAACCATATTTTATTTGAAAATGACAAGCATAAATACAGGCAAGTAGTACAAAAGTCAAAAAGGATTCGGAAACAAGTTTTAAAAACTTGTACTAATCCGTTTCCTTATTAATTATGAATAATTTAATTCTGATTGTAACGCTTTATTTGATTGGATAAAAAATTTTACTTTATATTGTATAAAATGGGTTGCCTACGTCACAATGACTTGCGTCAAAAACGTTATCACAAAACACGATTTTAAGCTGCTTTAAAAAATTATATGTGAATTATACATACATATTAAATTAGAAAGCATGTCGATTCACACGAATACTAGTAACTGGACATTGAATTTATATCACGAGTGGGACATTTTTTTTTTAATTCATATTTTCACGAGTACGAAAGATTTTTTTTTTCAAACTCAACAAAAAATGTTCAAAAATCTCGTTTATATATAACGAATCAATGAAAATATTTGATTAAATCAATTTGACTTACTTCGAAGGGGAGCGCTGAGGCTGCAGCCACAAACAGAAAAAACACAGACCAGGTCCTCATGCTTGGTGATTTGGGGTCTACTGATCGCATGGGGAGGTACCTGTCTTATATATTGTCACCATTTCAATAGAATGTTTGAAAATCGTGACGATCTTCTATTTGATGCCTTCTTTTGAATATAACCACTGAATTTTTTTTTTTCAAAATCAAAACTTTTTTTACAATCTTAAAAAGATTAGATCTAGGGTGCGATCAAATTTCACTTTTTGACAGGCATTTGATACTGCAATTACTAACGCGTCATTAAATGAAAGGATTTAACAGTAAAAGTAGGGCATGACCAAATATATTACGAATAATCGATCGAAATAAGCATTATGGACAGTCTGTTATTCTGAAAAATACACATAATTATTTGGAATTTGATTTGCGTCAGTATACAGCTTAACGTAACACAAATATGTGACTTTCCAACGACATTGTTGAAAAAAAAATTGTCACTGTATGTATCAATTTATAATACATGTATATATCAGAAACTCGACTTTTTCCGTTACATTTTTAAAAGAGATAAGCCCGAAGACCACGTGTCTTTAAAGTATTATGATTATGTTGTAGAAAAACTTTCAAAAAAAATGTGGTTACGATCCCAATTTTCCAAAAATCTATTACAATATGTTTTAATGTGGTAATTGTATTGATATGTATGCATTGGATGTTTGTCCCACGGAATAAAGAAAACAACGGAGAGGGGGAAGGTCTGAAAGAGACTCGCATTTTATTTCCTACATTTTATCAATAAAAATTAAAATAATAGAGAGAGAGAGAGAGTAAGAGAGAGAGAAAAGGGATTTTGAAGACAATGGAATTGTCAAAATATCAAATGCAAGGCTAGGGACAAGTACGAATCTTTCTTTGAAAACAGAAGCGCATTGCTGGGGAAAACTACATTGTCGTCAAGCACACATAAGTAGAACTTAGAGAGGCGAGTTGCATTACGAATTCAAGAGCCTTTGTAAAGTTTATGTAGAGCGTGTGACTTACCGGTATTCTGCAAATTGCAATACGTATTTTCTTTTATTGTAGGTAAAAAGCTTTTTAAAAATCTTTTACCAGTTTATACATGCAATTATGCTGAATATTAGCTATACTAAAAAGCCTGTATGACGAGAACATATTAATTCCTGTGCAACTATGCAATAGCAAATTACAATCTCAACAAATTAACGAATAAAAAGATTTGCTCGTTATCAAAATTAAAAAGATAAGAAAGAAGATGGGTGAACAAGGCGGGCGAAGTGCCTATAGTGCGACAAACATGAAGTGAAAAATAAAATCTCAATTATATAAAAATTTTCTTTGACATTTCATCTAACATTTAAGTATATTTTATGTTAATTATCTACAATTTACAAAAATCTTACAAAGACTGAAATTATTTGCCTACAAAATAGCATACACACACTAAAGAGGACAAAAACGATCATTTTCTCACACTTCAACAAAATTTTTCGATATGAGTGGGTCTTCGCTCCATTTTTTTGAAAGTTGATCTTGAAAGTTTGCATAAAAATATACATTTTTTGGTTTACAAAAACATGGAGCTAAGACCCACTATACCTTAAAAGTACACTTATATGAAAAAGCATTCACATCTTTCCGAGAAATACTTGAAGTTCATTAAGTCAAGGGCCATATCACAAACATGATTTAAATGCCACTATTCATCAGGAGCTGCTTGGCGTTGTGGTTAGTGCGTTAGTCTCAAAGCAAAATGATACTCTGGATTTTTATTGTTAGGGGGTTCGAATCCCAAGAATACCATTTTATTTTTTTAATAAAAGAATAATTTTTCCGAGATCTTTTTTTCTCTCAGAAAAGTTTTGTTGATCATAATTTCATAAATTTCAATAATGATAACTTTTCTGCACGCCTTGTTCACCCATCTTCTTTGCTGTAAATGAATGTACATTCACAAGCATATGTTTCACTTCTACATTGGACAGGTTACGGTAGCCTAGTGGAAGGGCGTTCGTTTTGTTATCGGTAGGCCCGGGTTCGATTCTCGTTCACCGTGCCGCGTCAAACCTAAGACACGTAAACTTAGGTAGTGACTGTTATTTAAAATTCGAGATCCCATGTCACGGTAGACTTTGGCACAATAAAGAACCCTCACTGTTCAATGGCCCTCGTGCCTAGTATAGGTCTAAATTTCACCGGGATATGGTGACATCTCTATAAGAGTGAAAAATCTCCAATGGGATGTAAAACAACATACAGTCAATCACTTACACATTGTTTTTACTTTCTTCAAAACATATGTCAGTTTTTAATATTTTTAATATTCCCAACAATCAAAATGATTTTGAATTACCATACCTATACTAGATTCCAAACCTCCATAAAAATCGTTACAAACAAAGATACATAGTGGTTTTATAATGCTCTACCAAGCCTCTTTCTTTACTCCTCACTACGATATTAACAGCAGTGAAGGAGAAACTTCAAGAGCGCTATACAACAGTATGCTCGAGAAGTGGTGTAAATCAGATGTGGATACTTCAAAACTCAAAGTAACTTGTAGAAAATTTGAAATCACAGAATTTTAACAAAATCAATAACATCAAACGTACGATTTCTCAATACTTTATACAACCATTCCCCACGATAAATTAAGTCCAGGCTATTTGACATCATAGAGAGCTGCATTTTCAATAAAAATGGAACTCGTACATATACTTACCTTGTCATTGGTCATTTGCAAAATTATTTTGTTAAAAAACATTCTGATTGTACACACAAGTACTCTGAAGTTGATACTAAAAAGATGCTTGAGTTTCTGATTGACAATATCTATGTAGTTTTTGGAGATCAGGTCTTTCAACAATCTGTTGGAATATCCATGGGTACCAATTGCACTCCCTTTGTTAGCAGACCTATATTTGTATTCATATGAGGCAGAATTTATTCAAGAACTTCTAAATGAGATGAAGAAAAACACTTGTTGTGTCCTTCAGCTCGACATTTAGATATATCGACGACGTATTATCAATTAACAATAGTTACTTCCATTCATATGTCCACTCTATATATCCCATTGAGCTTGAAATAAAAGATACCACAGAGTGTGACATCTGTTTCGTATTTGGATATATTACTAGAAAAAGACTTTAATGGTGACTTAATAACAAAGCTTTATGATAAACGTAATGACTGCAATTTTTCAATCGTCAACTTCCCTTACTTATGTACCAATATACCCTTATCATACACTTATGTTTTTTTGTCTCCCAGTTGTTTCGATACGCAAGAACATGCTCTACGTATGAACAATTTCTAAAACGAGGCAAACTATTGACTAACAAATTGATGAAACAAGGATATCAACAGTCTCGTTTGAAGTCATCATTTCGTAAGTTTTATGGTCGACAAAAAGACATTGTCAGCAAATACAACCTGTCATTAAGTCAAATGCTGACTGACGTTTTTCACATTAATTGTTAGTCCATTATTTACACATTGAATTGTCTAGATTTTTGCGTTTTTCCATATTATGACAAGGAGCACACGGCGGATGAGACCGGTTGGCAGGGGATGCTCACTCCTCCATGGCACCTGACTCCACCTCTGATGGTTTAGGAGGTCCATGTTTGTTCTGCTCCAGAATTGTATTATCCAAAAGGACTTTGAGCTTGAATACTGTTCTTTATCTTCATATTTCAGTGTGATTCGATTATGCACAAGTTAAATAGCAAAGGCAAAAGGGCTATGAAAATGAGCATAAATTAACCTGATAAGGATATTTGAGAAGTGTTGATATGACCAGTTTCATTCCTGTTGGTTTGCTGGACATGAAATATACAACCATTAAAAATGATTAATGAATCAATGTTTTGCAACCTGTAGCAATAATGCCTCAGAAGCACCTTCTTATTTTTTATTTGGCAAACACATTACAAATATTATCTATACTAAATTAAGGCAAGATTTATATAAACGCAATATCATTGGCAATCCTTATTGCTCATGTGGTAAACAAGAAGATGCTTACCATTTTTTCTTTGTTTGTAGAAAATATCTTAATGCTAGAAATAATCTTTTTGACTATCTTTTTCGACATGATTTAGATATCATAGATGTATACCTACTTCTGTGGGGCAATGAAAATTTATCATTAGAATCAAACAATGGCATTTTTGCTGCTGTTCACAAGTTCATAAATGAATCCTGTAGGTTTAAATAGCTATATTAATATATATAATTATTTAATTTGTTTAAGTTTTTGATATTTTTTGCATGACAATTATGTATTATTATGTGTTATATTAAGGAGAGGAACTAGTAAGTTGATAGAACTTGATTCTGATCCTTTTGATTCTCAATAAACTATGTTCAAAACAACCTGTAGCAGAAAAAGCGAAAGAAATATTAATAGTGTCAATGACTTTATTCTTTTACATTGTAGAGAAGAGATACGACTGAAAGTGTACAATATACAAACACAGATAAACAATATTTAAAAAATAATAATTCAAGTCAATTATTTCTATCAAAGACTTGTTTAACAATTTACAGATATATGCACATTTTTTTCAGTACAGAACAGTTTGTTGATGAAAAGAGTTTAAATTTCTCTATTTTTGGGCTGAGATTATTTGAGATATATTTTAACCAAGCCCCTTTAATCTCTTTTTATGTGCATTCAAAAGCACAATGAAATTCGTCACCAATCTTATAAGATCACAAAGTACAAGTCCTTTGTTCTCTAGGAATACTATTCCATCTTTCATTTTCAACGAAAAGTTTAAAATTGTTAAATCTTCGCAGCAAAGTCGAAAATACCAAGATTTGAAAAAAAAAGCTTGTGTAAGGATTTGAGAATGTTCATCTAAAAGTTGCTATGCATAGCAATACTAGGTACCAAATTTTCTCCCAAAATGTAAAAACAAGTCTAGACAAATTCATACTATGCAAAAAAATATTTATTTAACAAAATAATACATAAAAAAATCATTTCAGCAGTCCATGGACAAATACCCGTCGAGTATCAATAAAACTTGGCAGTAATTTATTCAAAAAATCGGGAGAGAGATCTCTTCTGTGTACAAGCATCTGCAAATACAAGATAGAACATTGAATAAATACTCATTGTCGATTGAACATGTATTTTTGATGCAGTATAACAAGATGACAGCAAGCACAGCTTTAGTAAGACACTATTTTTTTTCCTATCTAGAACATTAATCTAGAACATTAATTTTGATAATATGTTGTCAAGTATTAAATGGATATCATTATGACATATACAAACAAGAGGCCCAGGGGCCACATCACTCACCTGAGCACTGTGGCTAGGAAAAGAAGAAAAATCTGTTTAGTATTGAAAAGCTTAAATGCATAAGTGGTCCCAACCTACCCCTAAAAGGGAGGGGGGATATGATTTGAACAAAATTAAATCTACACTAACTAAGGATGCTTACATGATTTTTTGACTAACTGTGACTTTTTTCTCTACAAGTTTGAACTTTCATTGTGGCCCCACCCTACCCCTGGAGGTCATGATTTGAACAAACTTGAATCTACACCACCTGAGGATGCTTCCATATAAATATTACCAATCATAGCTTTGCTGCTCTTGAGAAGAAGATTTTTCCTATATATTGCTACATAAAACTTTGATCATCCATTGTGGCCCTACCCTACCCCCAGGGGTCATGATTTGAACAAACTTGAATCTACACCACCTGAGGATGCTTCCAAATAAATATGATCAATCATAAGTTTGCTGATCTCGAGAAGACGATTTTTGAAGATTTTTTCCTATATACTCCTATGTTAAACTTTGATCATCCATTGTTGCCCCACCCTACCCCCGGGGGTCATGATTTGAACAAACTTGAATCTACACCACCTGAGGATGCTTCCATATAAATATGACCAATCATAGCTTTGCTGTTCTTGAGAAGAAGATTTTTGAAGATTTTTCCTATATAACCCTATGTAAAACTTTGATCATCCATTGTTGCCCCACCCTACCCCCGGGGGTCATGATTTGAACAAACTTGAATCTACACCACCTGAGGATGCTTCCATATAAATATGACCAATCATAGCTTTGCTGTTCTTGAGAAGAAGATTTTTGAAGATTTTTCCTATATATCCCTATGTAAAACTTTGATTGTCCATTGTTGCCCCACCCTACCCCCGGGGGTCATGATTTGAACAAATCTGAGTCTAAATTACCTGACAATAATTCCACATGAATTTCATCTTTCCTGGCCCATTGGTTCTTGAGAAGAAGATTTTTCAATAATGCCATTAATTTTTTGCTATTTCGTAATAATCTCCCCTTGGAGGGGGCGTGGCCCTTCATTTGAACAAACTTGAATCCCCTTCACCCAAGGATACTTTGTGCCAAGTTTGATTGAAATTGGCCTAGTAGTTCTGGAGAAGAAGATGAAAATGTGAAAAGTTTACGACAACGCCAACGACGACAACAACGACGACAGACAACGGACAAATTTTGATCAGAAAAGCTAACTTGAGCCTTCGGCTCAGGTGAGCTAAAAAGAAAGCAAACTTACACGAATAACGATTAATAAAATCGCCCATTAAGTATTTGTATCTTACCATGCAACTTTTTGATAGGACCAGTTGCCTTGGCTACGAGTCCAACAATTCCTTTAACTTGGGAAACTTTTTTAACAGCTAAAAAGACAGTGAGAAAAATGATATTATTTGACTGAATGTCAGAATCAGTCAAAGGATGAAAATTACTAAAATCTTTAAAATGGATGATGGAGTTCCACCTCATCAATAATTCAACAGAGATATGTATTGGCTCCTTCTTCACTAAGCACTTGATTCTAAACATTAGGAATCCAGATCATTCCCTAACTCAATTTCCCTGGAATCAACATTACTGCTTACACAATGATTCATTTAACACTACTGCTTACACGAAATATTTATCCCAACAATTAATTCTAAAAAAAAACCTTAATTCTAAATATTCTAAATATAATATTATAGAGATTGTCCAAAACATATCTATTTTCATAATGGTTTAAAATTTTACTTATCCAAAACCATTATATATATATATATATATATATATATATATATATATATATATATATATATATATATATATATATATATATATATATATAAGGAAAGTAAAATTCCCTTTAAAAGAATTATGGAAGCAACATACACAACTTTCTGAAATTATTATTGATAGTATGTATTTTTTCAGTGTCAACGTATCACATAGTATCAGTCAATAAATGGAAGGCAATTGTCATTTTGTCAGCCCAATTACTTAAAGGCAGAGATTTTTTACTGGGTGGTAAATTCCAGGTGAGGGAGGGGCTTATTTTGTACAGGTGTGAATGCCTTGAGGGCCAGCAGTCTACCTGTGGTCGTTTGTCTCCCATTCCCTATACACAGGAAGTGATTTAATACTCAGTAGAATACCCAAGAAGTCAAACTTTACCTGTGTTGGGATTTTGAGATGATTTTAAATTAAAAAGTTGTAAATAAAGTTTAATCTCATGCAGTAATTTTTATTAATTTGTACTTGAATGTGTGTCAAAGCATCCCCACCCATTAAAAAAAATATTATTATTTAAAGTATTTGTTGAGCTTTGAAAGAAAGTTATACCTAATTTTGATATATATTATCATAATATATATCATAATTATTTCAAATACTAAAGGTTTGTGTATACGTAAATATATTATCAAGCTAAAAATTCCATAGTAATACAGCTTCTCTATTGTTTATACCATGTGTGGTAAATATCAAAGGATCAAAAGTCACTACGAGTGCCAAACAATGTGTACAGGGTATACACAGGGACTAGTAAGTAAATGTCAATCAAGTTCTAGCACCCAATGATGTACCTTAATGCACTTGATTGACAAGGGTACACAGACCAGGTATTTTTGAAGGCGGTGCTTAAAATCTCTGCCTTTAAAGGCAGAGATTTTTTACCGGGTGGTAAATTCCAGGTGAGGGAGGGGCTTATTTTGTACAGGTGTGAATGCCTTGAGGGCTAGCAGTCTACCTGTGGTCGTTTGTCTCCCAAAACCTATACACAGGAAGTGATTTAATACACAGTAGAATACCCAAGAAGTCAAAACTTTACCTGTGTTGGGATTTTGAAATGATTTTAAATTAGAAATATAAAGTTGTAAATAAAGTTTGATCTTAATAATTTTGTTTCAATTAATTTGCAATTGAATGTGTGTCAAAGCATCCCTACCCATTAAAATAATATTTTTATGTAACGTATTTGTTGAGCTTTGGAAAAAAAAGAGTTATACTTAATTTTGATATATATTATCATAAAGAATATCATAATTATTTCAAATACTAAAGGCGTGTATACATACATACATACATACATACATACATACATACATATATATATATATATATATATATATATATATATATATATATATATATATATATATATATATATATATATATATATATATAATCAAGCTAAAAACTTCGTAGAAATACAGTTTCTCTATTGTTTATACCATGTGTGGTAAATATCAAAGGATCAAAAGTCAATTTGAAGGTCACCACGAGTGCCAAACAAGGTGAACAGGGTATACACAGGGACTGGTAAGTAAATGTCAATCAAGTTCTAGCACCCAATGATGTACCTTAATGCACTTGATTGACAGGGGTACACAGAACAGGTTTTTTTGAAGGCGGTGCTTAAAATCTCTGCCTTTAAATTTAAATTAACTTTTGATCCTTTGACATTTACCACACATGGTATAAACAATAGAGAAGCTGTATTACTATGGAATTTTTAGCTTGATAGTATAAATATACACACACCCTTAGTATTTGAAATAATTATGATATTCTTTATGATAATATATATCAAAGTTAGGTAAAACTTTTTTTTCAAAGCTCAACAAATACTTTAAATAATAATATTTTTAATGGGTGGGGATGCTTTGACACACATTCAAGTACAAATTAATAAAAATTATTGAGATTAAAATTTATTTACAACTTTTTATTTCTAATTTAAAATCTTCTCAAAATCCCAACACAGGTAAAGTTTGACTTCTTGGGTACTCTACTGTGTATTAAATCACTTTGGAGACAAACAACCACAGGTAGACTGCTAGCCCTCAAGGCATTCACACCTGTACAAAATAAGCCCCTCCCTCACCTGGAATTTACCACCCAGTAAAAAATCTATGCCTTTAAGCAATATCCCATATTCAATCATGTTTATTTTACGCACTGAAACAGGGATTCATATTTTGAATATGAGTTTGGAATGTGCTTCTGAATATTAATAAATAAAGATGCTATATTATTCTTACCTGGTGCATCACTATCAAAAGCTTCCTTCATTCCTTGAACAGCCTTCTTCAAACAACCGACAACTCTCTTGAAATTCTCTTCACAGTCCTTGCCGAAGTCCTCTATATGAAACAACAACGTGTGATGAACATTTAAAATGTCAAAAGAATATCTTAAAGAGTATGCAATTAGATTTCTGTAGCAACACTTAAAAAAATAACATCAGTTCAGAATGCACCTTACATAGGGCGTATCTAATTTACTACTGTAATAGGTGATGCAATGGTTTTTATTTATATTACATCCAAACTATTAAATCACCTTTTCTGCAGCCTTTTGGAATATCAATTTTGGCTGGGGGAATTGAGCCAGCTCCTGTAATTAAAACAAGACACTGTTAGAAACAATGAACGAATAAATGTAATGAACTTAACCTTCATGTGTAAAAGTTAATTAACTTCTCGTGCATTTTAAGCAACACTGTTGTAAATAAGAGAAATAAAAGGTAATACACATTTATTACAGATATGGAAAGTAAAAATGGTTAAAATAAAAAAAATTACCTTGTTTCTCGTGGAGTTCAGCGAGGGCGACTGCTCCCTCAAGGTGCTTCTCAACCTCTTCGGCAGCTGGTCCATCGATTCCTGAATAATTTCAAAGCGGAATATTTTTGAGAATTCCTGCAATTTTTTTTAAAATTCCTTGGTTTGGTTTGAACATATTTTATTGTAATTAATAAATACAATGGGATTGGGCACAAGTTCTGAAAACTTATTACGCCCTCTCCCTACATGTAAATTACATATTTAAATCGTCACAGTTAAACATGAAGTTTTAAAGTATACAATAATTGCAAAAGTTTACAAAACGATGCATTTTGCTGATATATAGATACACTTAATTTTGTACCAATGCATATACTGATACATTAGTTAATGCTAACAAGGAAATCTACCAGAATGTTTAATAAATAATTGAACAAAAGAAAAGAGACGTTCATTTTCTGCAGCATTCAATGAATCTACCCCCCATAATAAGACATGAGTATCTAGAATGTGGATCTTGTCAAATTGTAAAAAATTATTTAAGAATTCTTTTCTGGCTTTCTCATACTTTGGACATACAAAAAAATAATATGTATCCTCAACTTTACCACAGGAGCATAAAGGACTTGATATTAAATTGCATCTATAAAGGTCGCTATTCAATACGCAATTATGCCGTAGTCTGGTTTGCAGAACATTTAGTCGTCTGTTACCGTAATCAAAGTATGATGGTGGAGCAGATTTTTTAGTACTAATTTTAGATTTGAATTTTGACATTGACTGTAAATTTCGAATTTCGAGTGGAATTGAGTTCCATTCATTAACTACTGTCGGAATAAATGTAGACTTATAAGTTTGTAATCGACATTTTGGAATATCATAATTTTGAGAATTTCTTGTAGAGTATATAGATGTGTTACAGCGCATATCTGGAAGTATGTCCATTAAGTATTCAGGCACTAAATTATTATGAAGCTTGAACATAGTTTTTATTCTAGCTTCTTGTCTTCTACAACTAAGAGGTTCCCATCCCGTTTCAAAGTATAGTGAATCTTTAGAAGCTATAGTTGTTAACCCTGTTACAATTCTAGCAGCATAAAGTTGCAGTTTTTCTAACTTATCGTTATCACTATATTGACAGCATCCCCATACCACTGAAGCATATTCAAGTTGCGGTCTTATAAATGACGTATACATGAGTGAGAGAGTTTTTCGATTTACTTTAAATTTTAATTTTTTCAAAAGAGATAATTTTTTGTAGGCATTAGACAGTAGATTTTCAATATGCAGTGACCAACTAGCGTCGTGTGAAAAAAATACTCCGAGGTGTTTGTGTTCAGAGATGAAGTCCAATTGACATTGTTGAAAAAGAAGCTTAGGATATTCTATGTTTTTCTTTGTACTAAACATTATTGCTTTAGTTTTAGAGGGATTAAATTTCAATAACCATTTTTTAGACCAAAGTTCCAGAGCATTTAGATCTTTGTTTAAGTCTCTTTCAATAATTTTCATATTATGAGAAGAATGCTGCAAAGAATTGTCATCAGCAAATAATCTACAAAAAGTAACCATATTATCAGCAACATCATTCGCATAAATTAAAAACAAAAGTGGTCCTAAAACGGAGCCCTGAGGAACACCAGCAAATAAGGGTTTGGGTGTTGATAACAAGTTACGATACATCACCCGTTGATATCTACATTCAAGATAATTCTCAAGCCATTTGTACAGACTACCAGAAATTCCATATGTTTTAAGTTTAAATAAAATACCTTTATGCCAAACACGATCAAACGCTTTTGAAAGATCACAAAATACCATACAACAAAATTTTCCATCATCAATAGCTTTTACAATGTTGTCATATGTTTCTATTAACTGGTACACTGTTGAGTGACCAGGTAAAAAACCAGCCTGATATTTATAAAAAAGATTATTGTCATGAAAATAATTATAAATATATTTAAACACAACTCTTTCCATGATTTTTCCAACACAGCTCAACAATGAAACTGGTCTATAATTAGACATTACAGAAGGATCTTCAAACGCATTCATTAACACGTATTCAATTTTTAAATCAATGCCTTCTTTCTTCAACGTTTCTCTCATCGCAATACATATTACTAATTTGGAAACTAGAGTTTCTTTATTTTGTTGTACGATTATATACATACATCTAAGTATATAGTTCACCTATATGTATTCACAACATTAAGACTTTATGAAATAGGTAATGTTCCTGTACTTACCTTCATCTAAAAGGTCATCAAGATCATTTTCAATAGCATCCATGTCTTCCCTCAAATTCTTTCCAACTCTCTCTATTTCAGCGGGATCGGCATTTTTCAAATCTGTTCATAATGAGAAAGTGACAGTAGAGTTTAAGACCTTTTGTCATCTTTTAAATATTCCAATTCTGACGCAATACCCATTGCTGATAAAAAAAAAAGTTCAACCTACCTTCAGCACTTGCCAAACCAGCTTTAGCCCAGTCCTCAAAATCTCTCTTCTTCTAGAAACATAATTTTTTATATATAAAAGACATACAAGTATGTTTTAATGCATTCCATAAACCATGAAGAGTTACTATATTTTTGTATTAATAGTAATGTTGGAAATATCAGGGAAGGTTTTATAGCTAGGTAGGTGAATAGCATCTAGGAATATATTTCTATTGGAGGATTACGATTATTTTTACTTACTTCATATCCACAGGCTTCTGTAACGAATATATTATTTTCAAATTAGTGAGGATTCAAATAATTGATTTATAAATACATGCTGCATCCAGAGTAAATAATGAAGGTACTTAAATGAAAAAAAAAATTTACAATAAAACTGAAATGCAAAATTAATTCAAAGATGTATTATTTAACCTGTCATCTTGTTGTTACTTACTGGCAAGTGCTTTAATGGGTCCTGTGGCTTTAGCTACCAGTCCGACAATTCCCTTTACCTTGGCAATTTTGCGAGCAACTATGTGATAAAGGAAACAAATGCAATAAAACAACGAATTTTAAAATTTGTTAATGTTGAAATATTGCACTATTATCTGTATTCATTCCATCAATCTTAAGTCATTCTGTGATCACTTAATTTAAACTAAGGAATATGTATGAATGTTTACAAGCTGTACTTTGTTGCTTAACGTCCCTCTCGAGAATTTTTCACTCATGTGGAGACGCCACCACTTGCCGGTTGAGGACTGCAAATTTTGACCTATACTCGGCACTTTGGGCCATTGAGCAGTGAGGGATCTTTTTCCTGCCAGCACCTACTGCGACACTGGACATCGCTTTACAATACGGTCTCATCCGAAGGACCGGTCTTTTAGGCGTCCCGCAGTGGATTCGAACTCGCGACATAAGGATCAACTTCTTACACCGCGACTCTAGCACAAACGCTCTAACCACTGCGCCAAGCAGTCGATGTTTTAAAAATGGAATCTCATTCTTTCATTCCCCATTTGATAAATAATTTGAAGTCATAACAAGTGTTCCCGGAAACAGCTTATCTGATTAAAGTGAAACCTTTTTTGGATGAATAGGCATAATATACGGAAAGAAGGCTATTTTCGCCCACATGCATGCATATGCGTGCGATGAGTGAAATGACTGATATAAGTTTTAACTGTTCATTTTTTTTTTCATAAAATGCTTTGAAACTCGGTATATAAGCATATTCTAGTAGTGTAGACAGGATGATGCGCTTGAATTATCGTGAAAGCAAACGCATAAACGTGTGCATGGCTAACTCAAAAATCTCAAAAACATCTTTATTTTTGACGAAATATTTTAAAATTTAAAATAAAGGAAAATTATATCTTTACCAGGAGCTTTGCTGTCAAAGGCTTCCTTCATTCCGTCGACAGCACCTTTCAAGCAGCGGACCACTCTTTCAAAGTTTTCTTTACAGTCGCTTCCGAAGTCCTCTAAAACGTGACGGAGACAGTATGTCAACTACAGTATTTTATGCTAGTCTTTGAGTACTAACTCTGCATGCACTCAATTTATATACATCTAGAAAAACATTTAATTTAGATTTTCCATGAAGTTAAGATAATTAAATAATTAAACTTATACATTGATTATAAATTTACTATGTTTCAGGTAAGAAATCCTAGTATGCAAAGGGATGCTTTTCTATTGAAATAATGCAATTCAATTCACCTTTTCTGCAGCCTTTTGGGATTTCAATTTTGGCTGGTGGAATAGAGCCGGCTCCTGTATTACCAGAAAAATATAATAATAGAATGTTCATCACAACATAGTTGTTGTGGTATAAAAATAAATCAATAATTTGTCTAATATGAAACAAAGTATATCAAATACATGTAGTTTCATTATACATATATGTAATTTTACATCGAAATCATAGATTAATAAAAGTAAATAGTAAGTAAAATCTAACCCTGTTCCTCATGCAGCATAGCGAGGGCAACAGCACCTTCAAGATGCTCCTCTACTCTCTCGGCAGCTGGGCTCTCAACGCCTACATATAAATGACTTATTTAATATTTTTGTAAGATACGCTTTACATCCAGTACATTCATATAAAATCACCACTGTAAGTCTTACTCCACGTTTATATTTTCAATGACGGGTCCGGACAACGAACACCTGATGGTTATATTGAATACACATGACAGTGGAATGAAGAAATGTAGAAATGCCTATGTCAACTTGCCTTCTTTCAAAAGCTGATCAAGATCCTTTCCAATAACTTCCATATCTTTTCTCAAGTTCTTTCCAACTTTCTCAACTTCAGCAGGGTCAACATCTTTTAATTCTATAATTAGAGACAGATGGACATTAAGAATGAAGAGGATGAGGATAACGAACAGTAATCGATCTAAAAATAAAATACAAAACAAAAACAAACAAACAAAGAAACAAAAACAAACAAACAATACAAATCTGTGAAAGTGATATGATAAAATGCATCAAATCTTTTATTTAATCTAGAAAAAAAAGTATCCTCAGCTTTCGTTTGAATGTTTAGTATGAAATTATGAAAACCACGTAATTAAATATAGGACAGCACTTACCATCTTCACTGACCAGACCAGCTTTGGCCCAGTCCTCGAACTCTCTCTTCTTCTGCAACAATAATATTGCTTGTGAGGGGAAAATATTACAATTTATGTTCGTGTTCATTCGACAGACTCAATATACAGAATTAAAAGGGTTTGCCTCAAGTTTTTGAGAAATCTGTTTATGAAATAAACAATTATATTTGCAAAAACTTGGTTATCAAGAAAAAGAAGGAAAACTTGATTCAGTTGCAAATTTAGAATATCAAAGTGTTCAGAATTGATATCACACACACACACACACACACACCCCCACATACACACAATGGTGACCAAAGGGTTACTGGAGGAGATTGTACTTACTGCATATCCGCAGGATTCTGTAATTATAAAAATATTTAATATTACTGTCCAATTATTGCATAAAGTCCAATTCAAACATTATAGTTTTGGACATGGATTTGACATAAAGCCCAAGTCAGTTTTGAAATAGTTAAATATGCACACCCATATGAATAATTGCTAAATATATTGAAATATAGGGGGAAAGTTAACTTTTTTTTCAAAGCTCTACGCAGTTTTAAATTTCATACTTGTTTCATGAAAAAGAAACTTACTTGCGAGTTTTCCAATATCCTCGGCTCCACTTGCTAATAAAACAATGACTCCCTTAACAAAGGACACCTGTTCTACATCTGAAATCAGTAAGCAAATTCATTACATTGTGAACTTGTCAATGACACACTGCAGTTTCTTTCCTTACAATGTTTTCTGCTAAAAGATAATAGTACAGGATAGTGACAAGTAAAACTTACTGCTTTTATCTGATGTCAGAGCGTCATTAATGGCTTTGGCGGCGCCTCTCAGGCAGTGACCAATACGAACAAACTGTTCTTCACATCCATCCAAGGCAGCGACAGTATCTGCAGACAAATATCTTATACTGGAGATCTCTCTGTATACATCCCTTTCTCTGATGCATTAAATACATCAAAAAAATTAAAAAAGAACTTTTAAAAAGTCTTCCCTTACCTCTGGAACATTCATCGGGGACATCAAGATCCATTGGTTCAATAGAATCTATGAAAGAAAAATCAGATCAGACACATTAAACAGCATTGTGTATTGATGAATTGTACATTGTAGACTGAATTCGTTGAATTTAAAGACTGGATTATAGTGTCAGCATTCATATGCAGAATCAGTGTTGGTACCTTTTTCAGCGTCTATGAGGGTCAGCATGACAGATCCCTCAAGAGCATCTGCTGCCTTTTTCTCATCTTCCTTATTTCCCTCTGTGGATATAAGAAAAAAGGCATGAAAAATGATTTACACACACACACACACACAGTCAGAGAGAGAGAGAGAGAGAGACAGAAAGACAGACAGACATACTTCCGCTCAATAATCTTTCCAAAGCGCCGTCAAATTCTTTGACGTCAGCTAGTAACTTTCCACGAATGGCTTTAACTTCTCCCTCTTTGGCATTTTTTACGTCTGTAAATGCAATAGATAAAAAAAATGTATTTTTAAGAAATAGTAAAAAATTTTGTCCTTTTTATTCACAATTTCAATTTACCCGGGGTATTATTTTTTGTTAGAAATAGAAATATCAAGACAAACTTTATTTGAATTTTAGTTGTGTTTAAAGTAATGTTGAAATTTTCTTTCCTGGATATTTTTATAAAATCATTGTAGTCATTTTTGCATACCATTTTCATATTGAGGTGTTCTGTCGTTTTTACTACATATCTTTTATTTATTAAACACGGTTTTTATCGTGAAAACAGCTAATTGAATGTTAGCGAAATTATGCCTCAGTCATTTTATTCTTTTTGCAAGCCTGATAAAACTACCATGGAATAAAATATCTTCTAATATATTTCATGCTTGTTTGTTTGCTTTTTTAAAAATATACAGTCCTTTTTTTAAAAAATACATTTTAAATACATTTGTCATGATCATTTTAATGACAAAATCATATGGTTTTTATCGCTTAAAACATACGTTCCCTGAATTGCCATGGAACTCGCTGTACAAAAAGTTAACCATTTGATTTTTTTGAAAATCTTCACAAAAGAATTCATTTCATTTTCCATTTACTAATATCTATAGTAGAAGAGAAAAAGAATAAACAATTTATATTTACATATTTCTTCAATAGTGATGCATAGTTATCTATATTATGTGATATAGTTAAAGGACTTTTTTCTGAAAAAGAACTGTAACAGCTGAAAATAAAATTCTTATTGGACCGACTAAAATCAGAACATTATTTGAAGACGTAAACCAGGTGAGGTCCTTGGAACAGCTATTGATTACAAGTTCCTCCCCAAATTTGATTTAAAAGACGTAAATCAGGGAACGGTTATTGAAGACATGCCCCGCCCCCCCCCCCTTCTTAGGTTTGCTTCCACTTACCTTCTTCGCTAGCCATCCATGTTTGTGTCCAATGGTCAGGCCCGCCACGTGTCTGAAAAAATCATATTGCATCATTTAAAACAGGACTTTTTCAAAAATTGTTCATATATAAATAAAAATATTACTGTCGAAGATTATATTTGACTGTGAAGTTTTTTGATACAAGCTTGTCTGTTAAAGAAGCAAAATTAGAACTGTCCAGAGATAAGGTGGGATTTGTAGAATATTGAAACACAAAACAAAAAGTATTTAATTTTTTTTCAGTAGAAACAACTGTATAAATAAAAAAAAAACCCTTAAAAAAAAATAAGAATGCTTCATTGATTTCATTGACGGTAATTCTTATATTATTGTAAATCAAAAATTAAGGCTTTTTTTAAATTTTGAATTTTAAATAAATATAGATTTTTAAATTTTTGAGACAATAAATTATGCATATATATCTATAGAAAAGATGATGATGCTATTTATGATGAAAGTCATTCAGTGTATACCTGTAATGATCGCGCGGACACTGCGGCAACAAGGCACACGACTGCAATGAAGGCTCTCATATTGCTGGAATTCACACTAGTGACCAGTGGCGGGGGAGGGAGCCTTTTATAGCCCCCTCATTACGAAACAACTTTGGCCTAAATCATGACCTCTTCATTTTCTGAGTATTCCAAAGTATCTTTGAAAATCGCTTTATTTCGAAGTTTATAAAGGAGCTTAACATTTCAATTTAAAAAAAATGATAGAATCCCAATTGTAAATACTTTTTGTTGTCTCATAAGCGAGCACTTAACAAAATAAACATCTCCGGACAAATACAATGGATCTAATAGCCCAAACCGCTTAAAATATTTGTAGATCGTTGTACTTTGAATTTAAGATCACAATAATTGAGCGAAATGAGAGAGCTGGCAACTGAAATTGAGACACGGGCTATTTTTTGTGTATCTTAATATCATACCGTCGCATGACCAAGGGATTACGAGGAGTTCAAAGCTTCCTTCGTCAATTTTAAGAAATTTTACATTTTTTGAATTTGGATTATTACGCATCAGTGAAATTTCTTAGTAATGAAGAATTTGTTATTTTATTTCATTAATGCAATCTTATAATAGTTCATGTTGACATGTTAATCTCATGCAATAGAAATGAATATAAGTGAAAAAATCAAACAAGAATATTTAAGCGAAGACGAAGGTATTTCTGTCAATTTTAAGAAATTTTACATTTTTTGAATTTGGATTATTACGCATCAGTGAAATTTCTTAGTAATGAAGGATTTGTTATTTTATTTCATTAATGCAATCTTATAATAGTTCATGTTGACATGTTAATCTCATGCAATAGAAATGAATATAAGTGAAAAAATCAAACAAGAATATTTAAGCGAAGACGAAGGTATTTCTGTCCTTACACCGGCACATTTTCCTTTAAAGTCAATACTGGTACTGCTAATCAACGAATCATCACTAGCGAAACTAGATGTCATTGAGATGGTGGCCATCTCAAAGGGTCCCGCTTTGGCACGAAAATCACGAGTGCTCCATACCCCCTATCAAAAAACAGCACAAAAATCACGAATGTTGCATATCCTCTATGAAAATTGTTGCATATCCTCTATCAAAATATGGAAGGAAAATCACAAATGTTCCGTACCTTAAGTCAATTAGTAAAGTTTGAAGCTGACTGGTCTTAAGGGAAAGAAATTATGCACCGAACAAAGATTTTAAAAAGAGAGGCTATTTTTGACCTTGACCCTTGACCTAGAAACTTTGTTCAAGGTCACTGCACATGCATTGATCAGTGGCACTCTGTGAGTGAAGTATGAGCAACATTGGACCAAGAGGAGAGAAGATATGCTCCGGACAAGGATTTTTCATATAATTCTACTATGACCTTAACCTTAGACCTAGAAACATGGTTCAAGATCACTGCACACCCTTTACCCAAAGACACTCTGTGGGTGAAGTATGAGCCAGATTGGGCCAATGAGAGAGAAGATATGCTCCGGACAAGAGATCTCGGACGGACAGACGGACGGAAGGACGGATGGACGGACAGACTGATCACTATAGGGCGCCCGCAGAGCGGGCCCTAATAAAAATATTGGCAGTAATGTTATGGGGAAACTTGTTAATTGTATGTAAAGATTTTGTCCTCGTAAAGAATTGATGAAATAGAATCGGTTAAGATTTGATAGCAACGTTTCAAATTTTTGTGAGGGGAAATTCCGCTTTACATTGAACTGAGAGAGAGAGAGAGAGTCTTCCCTAACCAAAATAATTTACTAGTGTTATGCATTAATTGTAAATCAAAGCTTCATAGCTTTTTTTCATAATTTCCTAATTTATCATTATTAAAATGGAAGGTTGGAACTAGTTTAGCATAATTGCTCAAAATTAGTGTAAAATTCTGGACTCTGGATAGAGACTAAAACGAAAAAAAAAGTCTCTTTCGTTATTAAACATTTTGATTAAGTCGTCAAAGTAGCCTCAAAGCTTATGTTTTACCATACAATTTCTAAGGCAAATAATAAGTGTGGTAACCGAACGTATGCTGGAATTTGAACCATATCACCATCGAGAGCATTGTAAGGGTTTGATCGAAATACATGTATTTTCTTTTCAGAGTTGCATACACAGTCTGATTTACTGAAAAAGAAAAACTACATCTCAAATAAAAGAAATGGTTACTTCAATCTCTGAGGTAAATACGGAGTTAATAAATTATACAGAATATAGGAAATTAACTCTCGTGTGAAAATAAAGATTTCAATGACTTAAAAAAATTTCAACACGACATTCCCACGAAACGTGAAAGCTTATTGGAAATTCGTTTGTTGTAAGCATTTGCCTGAATACAAAAATTAAATATTTACAAGTTAGACTAGCAATGTAATAGGTTTTACAAAGATGTGTATTAAATCATATTTACAAAGGTTTTATGTAGATTTCAGAAATCTGACACAGGCAGTTAGTTTTATATACATATTGACATAATGTAGATCAACAATCTGGTTAAAGTTTGGGAAAGGAAATTCTGATTTACAAAGTTTCTGACATGCAGTTTATATACCGATACAGTATTATTGAACGAAGAGTATTTCATGACGAATATGACATAGTACGCAGATTATAAAATTATGTATGTATACATCAGGCACGTAGCATCCGCGAGGGGGGGGGGGGGGGGCTGTCCCCTTTTTTGGAAACCTAAATTTTTACAGTTAATTTACTAAAAAAATGTTCATTGAAAGGACGCCCCCCCCCCTCCACCTTTTTGTAGTGTAGTAAAATCCAGCCATCTTCATTGATTGTCAAAGATTTTTACGTAAGTTGTAACAATTTTTTTTCGTTTCCCCCTCCCCCACTTTAAAAAGCGATACTACGTGCCTGTACATGTCTTTGATAACCCTGTCAAGTTCAGAATGTTTTATCTAAGCTCAATATACAAATGACAATTACCTGCAACTCCAAGAAAATAAAAATTTGGTTTTTCAAAATAATTTTTGGGATAACGTTATAAACTATAGAGAAAACATTTAGAGAGCTACCAAAAGTATCAAAAGAGAATAAAACATTATTTCATCATGATTTTTTGTTTGTTTGTTTTTGTTTTGTTTTGTTTTGTTTTTTGTTGTTTTTGTTTTGTTTTGTTTTGGCTTTTTTTTGTTATTATCAGATCTGTATGAAGTATGGTTTCCATAAAACGTTCAGAATAACATGGAAAAAATTATGATATTTTGGCTTTTGAGGATTAATTTTTTTTTTTTAGGAAGTCCATAATAGATATTAAAAAGTCAGTTTTAGGAGATTCCTCCACTTAGAGAAACCTATACCTATAATTTGTCTACTAAATATCCAGTAGAAGACTAAAAAAACTGCATGAAATATTTCTTACCATAGGTTTTCTCTTGTTCCTTATATTAAGGTTCAATTCTGTTAAGTCCCCAAATAATGGTGGCTTATATACTTGAGTCAGTTTTGCTTCTAATATTTTCAAGTTAATTTCAAAATTCAGAGTAAGTGATCATTCTTCAGATGTTGAAAGTAGTAAAAATAAAATATTCCAAGATATCGTAGGCTTTGCAAAGTTTGTCCAGATAAAAAAGGTGTAATATGCAAGTGAATATCTATTCTAAGAATCATTTAATCAACTTGTACTTATCTTTATTTATATGGCTTGAAAATATGAAAGTGTGGGTGCCAACTACCGTATAGCCGGTTTCTTTAGCAGGTGTAAAATTTGGCTTTTAGCTTGCTCAAAGGTATGTCAATAAGGCGTAACTTTTTTTAGCAGACACACAGTTTCATGACGTTGTAATAGAGAAGTTCATTTTCTAGATCGATGAGTTTATAGTTTGATTAATATACGTTGAATACCGATTCATCCAAGGGTTTGAGTAAAAACCAACACCAAATGAAAGAACAGACTCAGAGTTTTTCATACTAATTGTTAGGCCATTATTTACACACTGAATTGTCGACGGATTTTTCCGTTATTTCCCGATCATGACAAGGAGCACACGGTGGGTGTGACCGGTCGGCAGGGGATGCTCACTCCTCCATGGCAACTGATCCCACCTCTGATGTTTAGAGGTCCGTGTTTGCTCTGCTCCTATTTTGTATTGTTTAATGGACTTTTGAGCTTGAATACTGTTCGTTATCTCCATATATTTCACTCATCAATGTATTTTACTTGTATTCTCTATTTATACGACAAGGGTGCAAATTGGCGATTTAAATTTTAGCGGACTGCTTCAAAACCACTAAAAATGAGCCAAAATTAGTACCCCGCTAAAAAATAATCGCTTGTGTGTTTTTTTTTTAAATTCAATGTGAATAATTTTATATATGTTTTAGATGTTATAGATTTAAAAACTATTTTCAGAAAATGTATGGAAAAAAAGGATAAAGCATTTCTATGTAGAATATATATATTTCAAAGTACAGTTCTTGCAAAATAGCCACCTAGAATAAAAGATATCTGAAAATTTTAAAATAAAATTTTCGAAAACACAGTCCAGCTGCAAAATACTGATCTGATAATTACTGAGCCGTATCATTTTTTAAATGAAATATTTTATTAGCTGATTTCGTGTATGTTATTTGTGTACACTTTGTTGACGTGATTTGGAAATTAAAGATAGTTTGTTCACGTGAATAATCTTTGTGTCAACTAATAATGTATAAGTAGATGACCAAACAAGTATTGCAAAATCGTCAAGATTTAATTCTGCTTTGCAAAATCGTCAAGATTTAATTCTGCTTTGCAAAATCGTCAAGATTTAATTCTGATTTAGTTACAAAGTTAGGCTGCGAATTAAATGATTATTTTAAAATGAAATGAATCTAAAATATGTATATTACATACATCAGTCATCTCATCGTGTTAAAGATAAATGTACAAACTATGTATCAAAAACACGCTTTATCGAGAGCTTCATTTAAATTTCTTAAACCTTTCTCAAACTGCCTGATTTTGATATCCCCACCCTTTCCGCCAACAGTGCAATGAGGTGCAATGAGGTGTATGGGCTATGTTTAAAGTCATCATTTTGCAAGTTCTATGGTCGA